TGATACATACGAATGCCTTCGTGCAGGGTAAAATAGAACGTTGTGGACATGCTGATTTCTACATGAATGGCGGCATTATGCAACCCGGCTGCAATAAGGCGGGTACAAGTGAGTAGCTCAAGAATTAGGCCAATTTAAGTACATATTTTATGAATAACGAAAATCCACAATTTTTCTCCCACACAGACCCTTTTGGCTGCAGTCATCAACGCGCCGTTGAATATTTCCAAGAATCGATAAGCTCACGCAAAGGTTTCTGGGGTTGGGCTTGCAGTTCGTACATCTCCTACCTGCTCGGTATGTGTCCGCCAACCAATTATCTGCTCGAGGCAGGCGAAGATATAAAACCCAGCACGAAGGGTATGTTTTTTGTCGAGACCAATGATACAGCGCCTTATGCATTAGGCAAATGGACTGACTGGCCAACGGTGGGCAAACAAAAACCGAGCGTTACTAGAGCGCCAATTACCATTACTTTACCGCCGCCAGCAGGTTTCCAGGATCCATTGTTGCGTCAAATCGATCAATGGAATAAATTGGATACGAGTTTCAATAATATTGAACAAACGCCAACGCCATTTTCACAAGATCCCAATGGTGAAAATTGGACGTATTTTAGTGGCGTTGGCACGCGTGATATAACCGAAGATTTGGAGAATGCAAAGGTGGAGCAGGGGGTGAATTCTGTGGAGGAACAAAGTTTTGAGGAGACGAAAAATGTGAAAGAAACTCAGGTGGCGTGGCATGAATATCGACGAAATTTAACTTATGGTTATGTAGAGAATAGTATTTTCAAAGTGCCTCATATTGAAGGGGAAAGGCTGAAGGGGGAGAAAATAAGTAGACAACCGCGAGTAAATGAAATAAAGTGATAAAAAATGAAAAGATTAATATTTTTGGATTGATATTAGAGCTATGAAGGGCGAAAAATTTGGGACTGTGGTGAGTATGGAAACATAAAATCGTTTGATGGATTGAAGATAGTCGTACAACGGAAGAGACCATAGTTCGCAAAACCTCGTCTAACCTTAAAGCCCTAATAAATTCAAATAGTTTAAGTGGTTTCAGCGAGTAAATGTACGCAGCTTCTGAAGTCACTTACGTAAACTCCTCACCTGGCCCTGCAATTTATTACGGTTCTGTGACAGGGCAGCTGAGACTTCTAAGGGCATACTTCACGTGTGCGCCACTGTGACGTGTAGGCAAGAAAAGTACCTGCGAGTATTAAGCCCGCTGCCAAATCACATGCACTTGATGTCACCAAACATCCTTTTGGACTTCTTAAGGAGGGAGTTAGGAATGAGCGAAGTGTGGTAAGGAGCAAGAGGTACAATAGATCTTACAAGCTGTCTAGGCGCGCGAAAAAGTGGCATCCCAGAAATTTGAGGCTTTGTCCTGAGTGTAGGACACTGGCAAGTGTCTGAAGAAGTCCGTGTATGGGGCTCCGGACCTTGCGGCCATGTGGCTAAAAACCCAGTGTCCTGTTTATAAAGAACATAATAACGCTAAGACCTTTACAACAACAACAACCTCCTCGACAGCAGATCTTGCTAAGACCTTTACAACAACAACAACATCCTCGACAGAAGATCTTTCAATTAGTCTTTCGAAGGACTGAAATATTCTGTCAGGATACTTGCCAGAATTGGAAGACCATTCCTGCGAAGATTTTCAAGAAGGGTGAACGTGCAACGTCTGTGTGTCGGAAGCCATTTTGGATTTAATTGCGGTTTTTTCAAACTTTTCACAGAAAAATTTTTTCTTGTGACTGAAATATTTATTAGTTAAGAATTTGTGGAAGTATTAGTTTTACCTTAAGTAACAAACATTTTAGTGTTCCTTCCTGCATCTTTTGGGAAATTTTTGCCGGTTTTGGTACGAAATTCAAAGAGGTGAGTGCTTGGCTTTGGTTTTTGATTGTCTGTTTAATTTAAAATGCCGGGCGCTTCGGCGTCGGAGTGGAGCGGTGACCCGGGTGGCTGTGAGGATCCTTTGGATTCAAATGGGTCGCTCGATGGTTTCGCTGTGAAACGAAAACGACGTAGACAGAAAAGAAATAGGGGTAAAGCTGATGAAGAAAGCGCGCGTAAAATGCCAGCCTTTCAAGGCTTGTTAGTTCCGAAGGGTTCGGTGATTAGCGATATTCTTGCGATGCAAGAAAGTCCATTTCCAAGTTCTAACGTTGGAATTAATGAAAATGGGTCAGTTTTGTCGTTGAGGTCGGAAAATGCTGTGCAAAATGCAGGGGCTGTTAATAAAGTGCAGTCGTACATAACCTCAAATGGTGAGCGTGTTATTCAGGTTGGTAGCAATGACGAACGGTCCCCCATAACTTCCGAAGTTATGGCGGTGACATCGGGTGGTGTCGAGGATAATATTACCTCAAATACGACAGGTGGTGGCCTGACTGAAAATAATGTGCAGATTGATAGTGGTGCAGGAGTGCTGACAAGAAAAATGAGTGGTAACGATATTTGTAGTTTTCCAGTGAATTACAAGGGAGCTTTTGCTGTACTATTAGATACATCCAAATCTAGTATTTTCGATAACAAGTATGCAAAAAATGGAGTGTTTCTGTGGAATAAGATTAAAAATTTCGGTATTCAAGATCTAAAAGAGATACGAGCCGTAGGCAGGACGCTTTATAAGATAGTGTTTCTATCAGTAAAAGCTGCGAATGAGTGCTTATGCAATGTGAATTTGATTAAAGCCAACATAAGAGCTTTTATTCCTAGGTCGTTTGTTGAAACGTGCGGTGTAATTCGGTACATACCGGAGGAGCTCTCTGATGACGAAATTCTGGACAATATTAAGTCGGACATAAAGGTGACTTCAGTTTACAGAATAAAGAGACGTGACAGAGAGAACAGGACTAATTTTATACCTACCCAGACAATAAAATTGAGTTTTGAAGGCGATCAATTGCCTGAAAACATACAAATTTATTACACAAATTGTAAAGTTTTGCGTTATTTTCCAGCTGTTAAGCAATGTTTTAATTGCGGCAGACTGGGACACACGAGGTTGGGGTGTAGGTCGAAGACCCGTTGTATTCTTTGTGGGACCGAGGGAAAATGTAATGAAAACTGTGTGAACAAAAAATGTATACTGTGTGGGGATTCCAAACACGTTTCAATAAATAGCAATTTGTGTCCGAGGTGGCAAAAGGAGAGGGAGATTGTTGAGGTGATGACAATAAAAAAATTGACTAAGAAGGAGGTGTATGAAACGTATACGCAGCTTAACTCGTACAATCGGTTTCAGGCGTTAGCTGACTTTGAGGAGGTTTTTCCTCCAATTGGAGAAGAGGGTAGTAAAGTGGTGAACGTGGATGCAGAAATAAATAGGCGGTTGGTTAGGAAAAGCTACAGCTCAATACTTTCAAGGCCACCAAAAGTTAAGAGTCCAATTATTCCAGTGTATCAACGACCCGAATGGACAAAGGTGTCTGAAATAGAAAAGATTATTAATTTACTATGCAACAGGTTTGACATTGGAAGAGATGATCCGCTGATTTCTGTAATAGCAGCCTTAAAGTATCAGGATGGACGATGTGAGGCTATTGAGGAAAGGATGGACAGGGTTCGTAATAACAATAATTATGGTCAAAATACTTCAATATAATTGTCAGAGTTTAAAAACAAATAAAAGTTACATTGATAGTTTCGTTGTTCATAATGATATAGACATAGTTGCCCTACAAGAAATTTTTTCGCACGATGACAGTAAAGAGGACCACAAACTTTTAAATTTTAGACTTTTGAAAAAAACCCGGCCTGATGGGTATGGGGGAGTGGCGATTGGTTTTAAGAATGACATTAAATTTAGGAAAGTTAAATACCAGACATCGTATGACATAGTAATTGCAAAAACATTAAATTTAAATTGTAATCTGACGATCTGCTGTGCCTATTTTCCGCCGAACATTGCGGTTGCAGTTTTTGAGTCGGAGGTTTCCAGTCTGTTGTTGTTTCTGAATGGGCATAATAATGTTCTTTTGTTGGGGGACTTCAACGCGAGGATGACTAGGTGGGGTGATACGGTTGACTCTGTTAGGGGAAAAACCTTGTGTGATCTGCTTGAGGGTTCGCGATTGAGATGCTTGAATGATGGTTCCAGGACTTATTTTACGACGTCGGTACTAATGGGAATAGGACACAGTAGTGTTCTTGATCTTGCTTTCACTGACATGACGGACAATGTAAAGTGGATGTGCAAGAGGATGTTTGTGGGTGGTAGTCATCACTGTCCTGTGATGGTTGACGTAGATAACATCACAAAGCAGCCCTGCTACTTTGTTTCGAAAAATCTGTTGTATAAAAATTTGGGGAAGGTTAGAGGTGTTAGTAGTATTGGGGATCTGACTGAGGCTTTGGATGTAGCTAGACAAAGTGCTACAATTGATTTAAACGAATTTAAGCACACTCCCAAGTCGTGGTGGAACGAGTCCTTGGCTAAAAAATACAGGCTACTGAATGCGGCGCGTTGTAAAGCTAGGAAAACAAGGAGATTTGAGGATATTGAAGTGGCGTGTCAATTGTTAGACGAATGGAAAGCAGCGGTCAAGGAGGCAAAAAAAGCTAACTTCCTTGAAGCAGTTGAGGAGTTAAGTGCATACCCAAATACGAAAAGGGCCTGGGTGTTCATAAATAATGTGAAAAATGTACAAAAGAATTCAGTATCGCAGTGGCTTTCTGAGAATAATGCTGCGTATTTAGACTTTCTGTTGAACCAGATAGTTAATAAACATTCCCCATCACTTTTTGAGATGCTAGACAATTTACCGTCGACGTCGGGTCGATCTGACTTGGTTTGTGATCATATCTTTTCGCGGCTTTCACTGCTAATAGGGAAAAAGAAGTCCTCAGCTGGAGGAGAGGACAAAATTACTTACAAGATGCTTAAGGCTCTCCCTGAGGGAACTTTTGACACTTTGATAGGTCTTTTGCATCAATTTTTTGATAGGAATCAAATTGATGACTCCTGGCGTAGGATTAAAATTGTACCGATACCGAAGGGTAATGGCAGTTTAGAGAACATTGAAAATTTCAGGCCGATTTCTCTAATTTCGGTCATGGTTAAAAGTATCAATATGGTTGTCAAGGAGCTGTTAACTGATTACTTGGAATCGAACCAACTCATCCCTTCTAGGTGTTTTGCATATAGAAGAAATAAATCGACTGCAATGTGTTTGAATGAGTGTATGCAGGTAATAGGTTGTGAGAAACAAAATAAAAAGAAAGTTTTTATATGTAGTATTGATCTAGCGAATGCTTACAATTGCGTGGACATTGTCCAGCTAGTGAAACTGCTGAATGAATATAAGGTGCATCCCAAAATCTATAGTTGGATTTACAATTTTCTCCACAGGAGAACTCTGATCCTTGGAAAAAGCGAGATTTGTGTGGAAAATGGGTTACCGCAGGGTAGCTGTCTTTCACCGGTTTTGTTTAACACATATACAGCTGAATTACATGGCTTAGAAGATGAAAATACTCACATCTTCCAATTTGCAGATGACTTTCTACTTGTGTCTACTAACAGCACGACAACAGGGGCTCTAAATAATTTGGGGAATAAGCTGGCAGCATTTCAGAGGTTATGTTCTGGGAGGTGTTTAAAAATAAACATAGCTAAAACGAAGTTTATGTACATGGCAAAGGGGTGTAAGAACTCTTTTTCCTTGAAGTTAGATAATGTTGACATTGACCGAGTAGGACAGTTGAAGTTTCTGGGGAGGATAGTTAGTGCTTCTGGAGCATTGAAAGATCATGTGGTGAAGATTAGAAAGGAAATTGTACCAGCTACGAACTTAATTAGACGACTCACCTCCATTAAGGCGGGGCTATCGCCAAAAGTTTCGTTGAATATTTACAGGGCCTTTGTCAGAGCAAAGGCTGAGTATGGCTGCACAACCTGGGCAAATGCTCCTTTTGGGTATAACAAAAGATTGGCGGTGATTGTTAATGATACGTTGCGACGGTGTATTGGGGTGCCTCCGAGTGCACCGATTCATTCGAGGTTTGTGCTTGCTGGTGAACTGCCTCCCTTGTTTAGAGCAAGGTGGTTGACGGCAAAAGAGCTGGTTAAACAATGGTTCCACAATTCGCATTTTAAGGATTTGCTTACAAGCAAGCCGCAAATAAATACCAGCTATAGTTTTGTTTACAATAGATACAACACGATATTTGATAAGATAAACATAAATGTCAATTTCAGTAGGCATCCTTGCCTGACTGTGAAGAAATCAAGTATTGCCGGATCGAAGAAAAATATCGCGAGAGACCAACTGATTGCGATTTATAATGAGATGAAAAGCTCACTGATTGATGAGGGGTTTTATATTTATTCCACGGATGCCTCGTGCACCGGGGATGGGGTAGGATGTGGTGTGTATGATTTGCAAGGTAATGTTTCCTTTCTGTATAGGCTGGAAGAGAAATATGCGTCGATCACTGGAGAGCTTGTTGCAATCAGACAGGCGGTGGCGCTTATTGCCAAACAAAAAAGAACTAAAGCAGCAATTTTTTCAGATAGTTTATCTGCCCTCGAAGTCTTAGATAAGGATTCGACAGAGAATTTTTTGGTATCGGATATACATAAATTATTGTATGCACAGAGGGAAACCTTGCAGCAAGTTCGTTTTATATGGGTCCCAGGTCATGTGGGGATTGGGATAAACGAGAAGGCTGATCTGGCGGCTAAAACTGCCACCTCGGTTGGCCAAATCATTTCTATTGGTCTCACTCCATATGAAGCTCTTCTCAGGCTTCATGATGCTATTTGGAGTGAATGGAATTTTGAGTTTAAGGAATTGAATCAGTCAGTAGGGAAGAAATTTGCTGAGTATTCCCCTGAAATTGTGAGAAAACCATGGTTTAATGATAAAAGGCTTAGAATGAATAGCATGGAAATTAAGCTGATAAATAGGCTCATGCTAGGTCACACTTATTGCAACTACTATTTGAGTAAATTTAATCCTGGGCGCCTGGGTCACTGCTCTACGTGTAACTCCCCGGAAACTGAGGAACATGTAATTTTTGAATGCCAAGCACTGGAGGTGATGAGAAACAATTATGAAATTTTTAGCAAATTCAATGGCTTGTTGGAGCTATTGAAATCCAACAATCTTGATTATTATAATGAGCTTATAACCTTTCTTATTGAAGCAAATAGGATTGATGCGTTGTAACTAAAAGATGCGGGATTGAAAGACAAAAGAAAAATGTACATACAAAACTATAATAAGCGTTAGATACTAGGATATGCATATAAAATTAAATTTTCCAAATGTTATGTAAATGTTGAATATACATAGTGGATTTTTCATCAGTACAAAGTACAAACAAATATTTAAACACAAGTAGTGTTAATCTTAGGTTTTAGACCACATGACTCATGCATTAATTGTCTTGAGATGTGAATGTAGATAAATACTGTTGAAAAGTAGTTAAGAATATTGATGACTTTCTATGGGGGAAAATAAGCCCAAAGTGGGACAAAGGGATATTAAAGTAATAAGTAAAGAATTGTGGGCTAAAATGGGTATATCTCAATACACCCACAGATATAGTCTAAGGTTTAGAGTTTAGAAGTTAGATTTAAGTCTGAGTTTTAAATCTCCTAACTAATTATTTAAAGTGATAAAAAAAAAAAAAAGACTAATATTAATTGTGTGAGGAAAAGTTTGGAAGGTTAGAAAAATTTTAAGTAACACCTCATCTTGAGGTATGGCAAAGCCACAGATTGACACACTGAAACCTGGAAGTTGCCAGCTCGCAAAAGAGCTATTGTGCTGTTGCTGTCAAGTAAAGCAGCTGCATATCTACACGTATACATCGGAGTCGAGTCGTTGCAAAAGAATGGCAAATTATCTTGAGGAAGCGCATTGAACAATAATCTGAAGGAAACCTGGCAGTTTAAGGGAAATTGTAATCCTTGCCATTTACGGATCTACGGATATAGATCTAACGATATCCAAAAAAAAAAAAAAGAATTGGAAGACTGTTGTGAGTGTAAAGGCAGTTGCCAGAATTGTCCTGTTAGACTTTTTTCCTTTTTGTAGGTCCGATGAACTACATAGGCAAAGATTGCTGAGGTTATAAAAACAGCTCTTCCTTGGATTCGACCCACCATGCAAAATATGAGAAATAGGCAACAATCGTCAATGGCAACAAATTGGCGACTCACCGATTTATTGCTGTGGTGACAAATCGGCAACATCACTCCGTTCATGTAAATTTTGAATAAAAAAGTTCTCAAAACTTCCGAATCTTATGAATATGGCGTCAATAGTATTGGCCAAAAGCATCTAAATTATGCCCAAGGACAAGATTGAAGAAATAGGAAGCCTTACAGCGAGAAAATTAATTATTTCCGATTGTAAGTTGCGATTTGGTATACAAAAAAAATAAATGAAGTATTAAAAAGAATAAAATTATTCCAAATATCGCCTGAAGCGATAAGAAAAGGACTCATTCAGGTAATAAGAAAACGACTCGCCCAGGCGTGTTGCCTTCGGCGGACGTTTTAGAGCGACCGGTAATAGGAATCGATTCGATTAGTAAATACTTATGGCCTTGTTCATAAAAAATAAAGTAGGTTTAAAAAGCTTTATAAAATGACATTTTCATACATTTTCCAATTTATATGTAAATACTAGCAGACCCGGCGAACTTCGTCCCGCCCAAAATTAATTTTTTGTATTGAAACATTTTGGTACAACATTTTCACCAACAGTTCACGTCCATGATTTTCAGTGACGCGTTTATCTTCTAATATTACGGTTTGGTGGTTGTCGGAAGGCATATTTCCATTACCATCTTAAATAACCTAGCAAAATTGTATATGCATACAAAGATACGTAATAGCTTCAGTACCATTTGAAAGGCGCCACACCCCCCTTATAAAATAGCCACAATTTTTCCTAAGAGTATGGGAGTGATTTCTCATATCTCCATACCATGTTCAAGTACTCTACCATGAACACTTCCAGAGATATGCAGTGTGAAATATTCGGTTTGCATTGGAGGTGCTACGCCCCTTTTTCTTAAAATTTTTTTTCTTTCAAATTTTTCTTCATGACTATGCGTTTGATTTTATATGTCTTGGACATACAAAGTTCCAGTACTCTACTATGAACACTTGCAGAGATATAAAGTGTGAAAAATTTGGTTTGTATGGGAGGTGCCACGTCCCCTTCACTTAGCGGTATGAAACATACTTTACACCCTATTGTCATACCTACGAAATATACACAAAAAATTTCATTCAAATCGGTTACGCCGTTTCGGAGGAAATCGACCACAAACACCGTGACACGATATTTTTATATATTAGATTTTTCATACAAAAATACCAAAAGATCTAAAAGAAAAAATAGAGAAAATTATTTTAGGATAGGGACACCCTAATCGCCAAATTCCTGTACTCTATCGTGAACACTTCCAGAGGTATGCAGTATGAAAAAATCGGTTGTATGGGAAGTGCCACGCCCCCTTTTCCAATAACCACAATTTTTTTCCATGAGCATGCGATTGGTTTCATATATCTCCATACCATGTTCGAGCACTCTACCATCAACACCTCCAGAGATATTCAGTATGAAAAATTCGGTTTGTATGGAAGGTGCCACGCCCCCTTTTCCAATAACCACAATTTTTTTCCATGAGCATGCGATTGGTTTCATATATCTCCATACCATGTTCGAGCACTCTACCATCAACACCTCCAGAGATATTCAGTATGAAAAATTCGGTTTGTATGGAAGGTGCCACGCCCCTTTTCCAATAACCACAATTTTTCTCCATGAGTATGCGATTGGTTTGATATATCTCCATGCCAAGTTAGAGTACTCTACCTGAACACTTCCAGAGATATGCGGTATGAAAAATTCGGTTTGTATGGAAGGTGCCACGCCCCCTTTTCCAATAACCACAATTTTTCTCCATGAGTATGCGATTGGTTTTATATATCTCCATACCAAGTTAGAGTACTCTACCTGAACACTTCCAGAGATATGCAGTATGATAAATTCGGTTTGTATGGAAGGTGCCACGCCCCCTTTTCCAACAACCACAATTTTTCTCCATGAGTATGCGATTGGTTTGATATATCTCCATGCCAAGTTAGAGTACTCTACCATGAACAATTCCAGAGATATATAGTATGAAAAAATCGGTTTGTATGGGAGGTGCCACGCCCCTTTTTCCAATAACCACAATTTTTCTCCATGAGTATGCCATTGGTTTGATATATCTCCATACCAAGTTAGAGTACTCTACCATGAACACTTCCAGAGATATGCAGTACAAAAAAATCGGTTTGTATGGGAGGCGCCACGCCCTCTTTTCCAATAACCACAATTTTTCTCCATGAGTATGCGATTGGTTTGATATATCTCCATACCAAGTTAGAGTACTCTACCATGAACACTTCCAGAGATATACGGTAT